GCTACTGTTACGGGAATTAGATAATAAAATAATATTGTAATCTATCTAGAGTTGTTCAAATTCAGGGGTAAAAAATGACCTATTTTTCGTGTTCTTAGGCTATTAGAAATGTTTATATAATATCACGGGTTGTTGCTTGATCCAATCCAATATAATGTTCTTTGCTAAATACGGAAATAAATACTATCATTTTTTTTTTTTGCTTAGATGAGTGAACGAGCTCACAGCCCACCTGGTGTTAAGTGGTTACTGGAGCCCATAGACATCTACAGCGTAAATGCGCCACGCACCTTGATATATAAGTTTTAAGGTCTCAGTATAGTTACAACGGCTGCCCCACCCTTCACACCGAAACGCATTACTGCTTCACGGCAGAAATAGGCAGGGAGGTGGTACCTACCCGTGCGGACTCACAAGAGGTCCTACCACCAGTATCTACTATCATCTCCCGGATCAGTTGGCTATCTGGCGTTGGTTTGTCTTGTGACAGAGAGCTCAAAGCATTTGTGATAAGCAAGGTATGCAGAACTTCAGCATGTAAAGCACATTAGGAACGAGAAAAGCTTTCAGTTCTCAGACTTCGTCACTTCAAACGAACACTAATCACAGTGGAACTGGCTCTAATGTTCCTGTCGTATATTAGAAGAGTTACTGACAAATTTTATAGCAAATTTAGGTGTGGGGTCTAAAAGCTGGTTTTGCATACAACATAAATATTGTACTTAGGATATGTCACTTATAGCATAAGCATATTGAATGAACAGTTTTAAAATAGAAAAATAGACGGTAGTTCGACTATCCACGAAAAACTCCTTAATCGCCACCGTGACGACAAAAAGTAAAAACTGTTAAATATTCCGAATTAATAAAGTTAAAGTAATAAACGTCAGAATAAACCATAAAAACAGTTTTAATGATGTATACCAGCAAATACCGAAGAAAACAACATATTTCATAAGCTTTTGAAGTATGAAACAAATTAGTAGCTTATGAGAGCGTTTGACGTCAACCAAATAATTGAGAACTTTTTCAGCGACGCAGCTTCGTAATCAACAAATNTAAATATTCGGAATTAATAAAGTTAAAGTAATAAACGTCAGAATAAACCATAAAAACAGTTTTAATGATGTATACCAGCAAATACCGAAGAAAACAACATATTTCATAAGCTTTTGAAGTATGAAACAAATTAGTAGCTTATGAGAGCGTTTGACGTCAACCAAATAATTGAGAACTTTTTCAGCGACGCAGCTTCGTAATCAACAAATTACAGAGAAAATATCATGTTTCAAAGGTTATAACATCAAATTACTTTATGCTTGAAATTTGGTCTAAAAAAAATATTATTAGATAATATTTTTTTTTATTGCCTAGATAGGTGGACGAGCTTACAGCCCACCTGGTGTTAAGTGGTTACTGAAGCCCATAGACATCTACAACGTGAATGTGCCACCCACCTTGACATATAAGAGTTCTAAGGTCTCAAGTATAGTTACTATAGAGATTCTTGAGTGACCATACAGCTGGCCTACTGTATCTTGATGACGACCTGGACTTAAGAGTCCATCAGTAAGTATTTACAGTCGGCGTCGATGCGCCACTTCGATAAAGTGGCACGACACGAGAACCCTCTCATCGTGGCCGCCGGTAACTACATTCCCGATCCTGCGGACAGAATGGAAAGCAGTCGACGTCGCCCAAACCACGTCATCTCGGATCCTTCCGATCCACTAACGGTGCTTCTAGGTACTTCAAGCACCGGTCACCGTTCTCGTCGAACCCGTCGCTTGCGACGAAGGGCTCGACGAGTAAATTAGCTCTCAGACACAGCCCACTGAGTTTCTCGTCGGATCTTCTCAGTGGGTCGCGTTTCCGATCCGGTGGTAGATTCTGCGAAGCACGGCTCTTGCTAGGGGACGTGTTAGCATCGTCGTCAGGTTTGAGCCCCGTGAGCTCACCTACTAGTTACGGTTACGCTGGAATAGCCTCTCTAGGCTACCAGCTAAGGTAGGAAAAAAAAAAGGTGACCCGTCTGATGTAGAGATGTTGCGAGAGTCCATAGACAACAAATGTGATCGCTATCTGTTGTCTAATACTCGACTGTAATGTAGTGGGAATTTAGGTAAAAAATATTTTGACGATATAAAGAAGAGAATTTCCATCAAGGTCTCCAAGTAGTATAATGAACAAACCTAATATTATTCAACATTATCTATTACGTCACGAAACCCGGTCCAAAATAAATATCACACCCACACACGACTTCGTCCGTATGCTTCTGGCAATATGGGAATACAGGAATGACGTTCTCGTCCACTTAACAATCAGTACACAAAAAGCGGATGTGATTGCGGATGTGTCAATATGATTAAGTACTAAGATTTTGTTTACTGTCATAAATTAATACGGTACACTACATGAATCGAATTATACACAAAATCTTAATCGATCACTAAAACTGTGTGTTGTATTCAAAACTTTAGGAATCGTGATTGAGGATTAAGATTTTGTTTATTGTCATAAATTAATACGGTACTTGCTACCTAAGTCAAATTGACACACAACATTTTAATCGATCACTAAAACTGTGTGTATAATTCAATATTTTCGGAATTATACAAGCAAAATTGTAAAGTAAATGTTATTTTGTTTGTGGCTTGAATATTCCAAAGAGACTAAATTCTATATATTAATACGTGAAGCAAAAAAATTGTATCCCTTTTTACGAAAACTACGCAGACGAAGGAGTATGAAATTTTCCACACTTATAGAGAATATAGAGAAAAAGTGCACAATGCTATTTTTTTTTTAAATAATAGGAACAACATAATAATGTTGAAACTTATAATTTCAATTAATTATAGTCGAATTTCGATTATTCGGGACCACTAGTAATACTAAAAACAGACTTCCGTGCGTCATTATGACGTGTAGTTCATTATAATATTGGAAAAGCCGCGGTTGTGCTTCTTGTTTTGATTGTATCTTTTTTATGATTGAAGGATTACTGGTAGGCCCGGTGGCCTTTCCAGTTTCATCAGGATATGTGGGCGAGCAAGGGCTCAATCAGAAGGACATTTGATTGTACCTGAGCGTGTCCTACTTCCGTCAAACGCTTCAGTAAAATCTTCTAATAATCCTTTACCTATTTATGTACATAAAAGGCTTCAATGTTCGTTAGTTGTCACGTCGATTGAAGACAGCTGTACCGAATTGAATTATTGTTTTAAATTGGTAGCTTATGTCAATACAAGGTTTTCTTGAAAAAGATTAGAATAAAACATTTTAGGTAAATATAGATATAACTGTTGTCGTAACTATAACTTTTATAAATCGATACGATATATATTTCAAATATTAGAACACGTTTATAAGCAGATTAATGATATGAATCTTTTTTTTAATTTTTATCCGATCGAAAAAAAAGGTCTTGTGAACGGCAACGCCAAACTCCTTTGAGCACAATGATAATAATACAGAGCGCGTTGGCTGTATAACTTTACGGCAACACCTACTTGCTTCTCGTTTATAATGAATTGCGGGTACTGATGACACTCTCTGGAAAAGGAAATTTACTCTACATAAAAGGGTATTAAAATACCCTACATTAAAGGTGATTCTTTTATCTTTTGATAACTTAGCAGCGATGGATATTTTAACCTTAATATTGAAACTTTATTTTATGTATTTTATTTACTTTAGAAGTATACTAAAGCTACAATTCAGTAGTCACAATTAATTAGTAACAGTTAATTTTAGTAGTGTAATTTTAGTAGTAGTATTTTGTTGTGACTAATTATTGACCGCAATGCGCGGGTAGGTACATTTAAAAAAAAATACGTACTTAACTCATTATTATGAATGACTTCTACGATCAACGCATAAAACCGTTTTGTAAAAAATTAAACGCGCAAAGAGTATATTACTTTTGTATATTCTATGTATAGAATTAAGACATAGACCAATGGCAAGGTATGTGACGGGTATTCAAGATGTGATGTCTATAGGCTCTCCGATCTTCTCAGGGAGTCTCGCAATTCCGATTCGGTGACAAATTTTGACAAGCACTGCTCTTGCTAGGTTTAATGTTAGCAATTCTCTCATGTTGAGCCTGTGGGCTCACCCACCCGTCCGCGCGAAGTTAGAATAGGCATTTAGGCTACCACCAAAAAGGTCGAGAAAAAAAATCGACTCTGATGACCACTTAATATGCCAGGTGGGCCGTGAGCTTGTTTACATGCCAAATAGTGCATAAAGAAATAGTATTCCATATGATTCGTATTCGATTATATCATATGATTTAAGTATCTACTAATTTCATGTTTTACGTATCTCAATAACAGCAAGCCGCTGTCTGATATTACTAGGATCTTACGATAAAAATAACTTCAGACCATAGACCGATATCTTATTAATCAATTCTAAAACCTTGCCAGTTGACCGGTCATCGGTAGGGCGTATTTTTTGTTGCTTTTTTTCAGTTCAGTTCAGTGCATGGCGGCATTCAAGATGTGTCCTTGGGCTTCGGCGACCACTTAATAACTGGTTGACTATGCATTTGTCTGCATCTAGACCAGTCTTTTCCAAAGTGAGCGATAACGCCCTTTGTTGGCGCTGCAGGCCTAAAGGGGGCGGTAAGCGACCCAAAAAAATATGGAGGCGTTGTGGTAGAGGCTTGGGAGGCGATTTTTAATTTTATCTAGGAGAACTTTTCGACACCGACTGAGTTTTCGCTATAGTGGTTTTTAAGTAGGTGAAAAAATGAGGGCGCTAAAAACAGTTTATTCTCAAAGTGAGCAGTAGAAAAAAAGGCTAGGAACCCCTGATCTAGACCAATGAAAATGATAGGTCATTTGCGAACAAAATTATCAGGTAGAAATAAATTTAAATTAATGTAAGTTCAGTAAATTTACCACGACGTACATAGTATTATTACTACTGCAGTGGTTATCCTAACGGATTTAAACAGGTAAGTCTACAAAATCAAAGTCAGAACCTACCAAGGAGAATCAGCAGCATCGTCACCCAGAACCAGTGCATCCACCAGTGTAGCGTCATGATGGCAGCGTGACGGCTTCTGGGTTTACCGCCGGTCTGTAACGAAAATTATAAATTAAAATCTCAAGTTTGTTTGTTGGCTGGTATGATATATTTTATAGACCGAAGAGTGGGATGGTATGGACATGTGATGAGACTAAATGACAATGAGGTTGGTAAGAGAGTGTTAACTATGAATGTGGAAGGCTGTAGAGGAAGAGGTAGATCTAATAAGTAAGTGGATGGATTGCGTGAAAGACGATATGTGTAAGAGGGGAGTGAGCGAAGAAGTGGTATATGATAGAGGAGTATGGAAGGAGAAAACATGTTGCGCCGATCCCAGGTGACTGGGAGAAGGGCAGGAGAATGATGATGAGACCGAAGAGTGGCGGTGATTTAAATAAAAAAAAAAACTAGTAGTGCCTCATTTTAGAGTTGCAAAACGTGAGTCAGACATAGGGGTTCCGGGTAAAAAATATATGCTCATGTAGATTTGTTAATCGCAGCCGACACAAATATGGTAAAGCCGACAAAAATAGACTGAACTTTAATGATGAAATCATTCTGATCGCTCGCAATCGGTCACGGTTTTTATAGGATGCTTCGTAAGGTCACCGTGGCATATGAAAGGCATCAGAAAGTGCACAAACAAGATCTATGATCCTGTCGTGACTGTAAAAACGGGAGAAGAGTTATTTTTTTTTAAATCGTTAACTGGTGGTAGGGTTCTGTGTAGAAGCCCGCCCGGGTTGGTACCACCGTCTTGTCTATTTCTGCCGCAAAACAGTAATACTGTGTTCCGGTCTGAAGGACAGGATACCCGGTGTAACATACATAAGGCTGCCCATCCAGGCCAGGATAGGCAGCGCATCTGAGTCACTGATGTAGTTTGGATGTCTATGGGCGACGGTTATCATTTCCCATCAGATGAGCCGTAAGCTCGACTGCCTATCGAAAGCAATAAAAAAAAAAATCTTATTACGTATGCCAATACTAGTCCAATCATCTAAGTTTTTATATTGCGGTTTACCTCTTTCCCAGAGCCGGTGTTCTCGGGACTAGAACATGGGGTCCCATATTGCAGATTACGGCGCATGCGTCACTTTACCCGATACGGACAGTGTAGCGGGCAGCCAGCATAGAACATAAGATATTTGACAGCTGCCTGAATCTCGCCAAAGACATTTTCAAGATAAGCTTGAATGTACGCAAGCACCGAACGCATGCATTAATTTCATGAATGCAAATAAGTTTCGTGACCTGCGCGATTTTTTGGTGAAATTAGTGTCATGCAACTAAAATTAGTGTCATGAAACTAATTTGATAGTGTAGACGCGACATGAACTAGTGTCGCGAAAGCACCTGCGCTTTCATATCAGCGATAAGAGTGTCTCTGGGACCCGAAATACCTACAGTAAAAAATTAAAATTATCTTCACTCATTCGAAAATAGTTTTTATAGCTCTCAGGATCTTCATCTGCTAATTCAGAGACTAACTTCATTGCACCTAAATGCCTTCTTGTTAACCATCCTCGAATCTACCAACTTCTTCTTTTTCTTGATAGTCTTTTTTTAGGTTTATATATAAGCATTTCTTTAGCTGCATTGAATATAGCAAAATATAGCTTTGATGCTGACGGCGCCATGGTTACTGTGATGCTGTGGATTTCGCGACACTAATTTTTTTGCGAAATTACTTTCGCATATATCGAAACTATTTTCGTGAAACTGAGTTCATAATAGGCATGGTCGTTGCGCAACGTAAATGGTTATTGAAACTATCTATAGACAAAATAGCGGTTAGCTAGTTTCGCCGTACTGCAATAACCTGCTAACGTGCTAACATCTACTACTCAATCACGTCACCGATCACGAACACAAATCACACAACGTTCGGCAATATTCGTTTAACCGCTCGGTCGGCAGCTATCGCGACACGCAGCGCAAACATCGGTTCGATCGAAATAGACAATCATCATTTTGTCTCTTTCACGCACACGACTGAGATGCATTTGACCTTTGACTTTAGCCCTTAAAGCCCTTAAAATAAGATTTATAAAATTAAATTATGAGTGCAAGTTGAAGTCGAATTTTGTGGCCTTGAACCAGTTATTCACGAGTCGCGTGTTTAGCGACAAAGTGTATTTATTAAAAACGAGGCGCCAAGTTTTAAGTTTAATTACCAACTGAATAGTTAAAAATATAAAGTGTAGAGTTGTTTAATATAGATTATGTTTATAGACCTTGTAAAAATCTATTATAAAGTACGATACGAACTCTTTACAGAAGTAAAGCTAACATATCCTATCCTTAAAGATAAATTACAAATAAAGTCGTAGTTACTGAAATATTAATCGCGACGCTAGCTCGTTCGTGTACACATTAGTTTGCTGCTAAACAAAACCCGCTATTGCTTGCTATTGAAATAGCGCGTTTCAAAAACCGCTATTAACATTTGATAGCTAGTTTCGTTTCGCTAACCGAAAATGCCGCTACAGCCCACCGCTAGTTCATAATGCATGAAACTAATTGCGTAGTGTAAATTCCGCATTAGATTACCGCCAAACAAGGTATCTAAAGGCGCTTTCTGGAACAATTCTAGCAGCGTAGATAAATTAAACAATATTTACTATAGATAGATCATAAACATGACAGAATATGAGCGCGGTGACGATTGAACTTCGTACATGTATGTAAGCAGTGAAACGCAGAATATTAAACTCAATGTAGTCGAAATACGTGCGAATAAATTTCGCAGCTAACCAAACAGAAGACGCCGATATTAAACAATACCTTAGCGTAATATCTTAAGCCGAACAACACTAGACGAGGGTGATGTAAACGCGGGGCCGTGAAGCCGCTGACAAAAGATATTGGTAATCCTCTCGACACTGTCTCATTAGAACCGACGGGTTTTAATTTACGAACTTACGCATAGTCCTATTCATTTTATTTATTGTTATTAAGATTCATAAATTAATTTAGGCGAACTCGAGTCACCTGGTGTGGTTACCGGAGTTCATAGACAACGTCGTGAATACTGCAACCATCCTTGACGTTACGCAGTCAGTTTTCTGGAGCCCATAGACTTGAGATAGTGAATACTGAAATCTACCTTGATGCTAGGCAGTCAGTTTTAAAAATAGGATATATTCGTATGGCGCGGTAGGGCATTTTCGCAATGCTGGTTATTAAAGATATCACGGACTAAGGGTGCAAGCTGTTATGCGGTAGGGTATCTTGTGAGCTCTTGCGGGTAGGTACCACACGCACGCACGCTTGGGACACAAATGTCTGCTTCACGATAGAAATACCCTGCCTATTTCTACCGTGAAGCAGTATGCGTTTCGGTTTGAAGAGTGGGGCAGCCGTTGTATTGTAAAACTGTGACTTACAACTCTTGTCTCAAGTTGGATGGCTTGTTGATGTCAATAGGCTCTTGTAATCACGCTGTAAGGTCATCCAACTATGATCCAATGATAATTTAAACTGATTACTAAAGTTGTGCTTTAAGCGTTAGTTTTTTGGTAGAGGTCGGGGAGGACGCTGTAATTCTTTGCCGAAAAAATTATTTCTGCATCGATTTTGTATATGGCAAATAAGAAAATTAATGTTACTCTTCAGTATATTGAGTTCTCTATCTAGTGAATGAATGAATGAATGAATAGCCTTTTATTCAGATCCATATTACAATTATATAAATATATAGAAAACTTAAATTTAATATAAACCTTAATCTAGTCTCTTATTTGAATTATATACTTATTTTCTATAGATCTGTTTGTCAATCGACAAAGTACAATCTAACCTGTGAACTGTTGGAAGGTAGTGGCCTTTATCGCCTACGAGGACAAGTCGGCTTGGAGGAAAACTCTCTATCTAGTAGGTACTACATTTTAAACCTTTCTTATTTACTAAATTATTGTTATCATCGAGATTTAATAGGACAGTTTTTTTTTAAAGTTAATAAATCGCGTTAAGTTTATGGCTTGTGGCAAGTCCAGGCGACCTGTCACTCTTCACGGGGCGAGTAATTTGAATCGCTCGCCTTTCGACTACTCTTCATTAATATTTATGATGAAATATGCTTTTGTGTTTCGTTTTCATTTAGTCTACGATGTTCATCACGACTATGAAGTCGCCGATTCGATAATAACACACTCACACACGTCACACTACATATTATCAAAACAATATTGATGATTTGAATTTTATGTATCGACGATTTGCATGATATCGAGCGCTATCTGTGAACACCATCAACTTAATACCTGGTGGTAGGACCTCTTGTGAGTCCGCGCGGTTAGGTACCACCACCCTGCCTATTTCTGCAGTGAAGCAGTAATGCGTTTCGGTTTGAAGGGTGGGGCAGTCGTTGTAACTATACTGAGATCTTAGAACTTATATCTCAAGGTGGGTGGCACATTTACGTTGTAGATGTCCATGGGCTCCAGTAACCACTTAGCACCAGGTGGGCTATGAGCTCGTCCACCCAACTAAACTATAAAAAAATTAAAAAACCCCCCAAATAGTAACTAATGGGGAAATTCCTGACACAATAACACGATTAAAAATCGAATAAAGGCTTTTAATTCACATTCATTTTTAATATTCTTGATGACCCGCTGATCGAAATTAGACCATAATCACAGGGGCCTCAAATTTTAGATTTATTTTCCTTATGCTTTCCAGTTCGAGTATTCGGATCAACGTTGATCAGAACCCGATTTTACGTACAAATGTGCATTCAAATGTCTATGGGCAACCACTCAGCGTTAAAATGGATGTTCACATGTTGTGACATGACATTATTTGTAAGAGACGATATTGCGCCTGTCTAAATGTCACTGCTCAACTGTTATATTGAAATCCAAAGCTTCCAGCTTTGTTGTCGAACACGGAGTTTTCGATGCGGAAAGCTCATTAAGCGCTCGTTTAGCGCCAACTACTCGTGAAAGTCTCGACGGTAATTTGATGAGATACGTACGGAACATTACTTAAATGTTCTTGAGCATAATTTGTTCCCTGTTTAAGATGACACCGTGTAATTGACTCAT